TGCAATCTCTCTCTTCTCTCTCTCTCTCTCTCTCTCTCTCTCTCTCTCTCACACACACACACACACACACACACACACACACACACACACACACACACAACAGAAAGGAAAAAAAAAGAAAACGGGAAAAAAATCGCACCACCTGGCGCCGACTTCCCACCTCCGCCGACTTTGCCCTAACCCGCCCTCCTTCCCATCCCGCATGGCGCAGCCCACTGTGCCTTTATCCCCCCATCTCTCTCTCTCTCTCTCTCTACACACACACACACACACACACACACACACACACACACACACACACACACACACACACACACACACGCCCACTCCGCGTTTGTACATGGGTGTGTTGTGCATGGGTGTCTGTGTTCTTGCGTGTGTTCGTGCGAGCGTGGGCTGTTGTGTTCGCTATGCATAACTAAACAAAAAGAGCATGAGTCAGCCAGACTGTTTCGCCGGACTTTCACCAACTCATCAGTAGGTTGAACCCCGACAGTCTCCCCACGATGCATCCCGACAGTCTCCGCACGATGCATTTCCACGCTTGCGCGTGTGCATGCGTTTGTGCGCCCATGCGATGTCATGGTGGCTATACACACCTTTACAAAAGAAGGCAGTACGGGCAAGCCCTCAACCCAGCGGAGATTTGGACTCCACTACGGCGAGGGCGCCGCCCTCCAACGGGCCAATGGTACGGGCATTTCTTTCCCGATGGGCACGTATGGGCCCTCGTCTCAACGGGCATGGCAATCCAAGCCGTCCGCAGTGCCACCGTCCCGACGGTTCAGATCGTCGCGCGATCTTAAAGTCTTAAAGTCTTAAGATCACGTGACAATACGAACCGTCAGGCCGGTAGGACCGCGTACGGCCCGGATTGCCCAACAATCGTAGAACTTCTCATTTCGATGATTCTACATTTGAGAGTTTGATGCAAAAGTCTGATATCCCTTAAACAGCATTCCCCAGCATATGTGAGAAAGTTCATGAATCCCTAAAACGGAGGGAGCCTTTTTTCCAGTGTTCTTTCAACAATACATTCATGCAAAGGTGGATTTTTGACTCCCTGAAAAGTTGTGAAAACTCGTCATTTTTATATTCTGTCAATACAATTTCTTGGTTTGTGTGTGTCCTCCTTGTGCAGGGCCATGGTAACCTTCTCTTTATCGTTTACATTTAAAAATTAAAATTGATTTAAGTTCATTTAACTGATGTCCTAAAGGACAAAACTCGTCATTTATATACTTACCAAGCTATCATGACAAAGTTCCAAGGAAATGAAAAAAAAACTGGGCTACCAGAGTGGCATGGGTCCACTTGCCCGGCCGGCCCAAAAAGATATAAAAAAAAATAAAAATAAAAAATATTTTTTAATTAAAATTTTTATTTTAAATTTGGTAAAGAATTTCGATGTGACCCTGAGGCAAAAGTTGTTCAGTTTATTTTTCTGGATAACATAGTTTTTTTTTTTTTCGGATTTTTTTTTT